TAGGGATCACCTAGGGGTTTAACGGCTTGTTGCATATGCTAAATGCAATCGTGTTATCTACGAAAATGGTTTATTTTGTTATGTTGTTATTTATTACTAGGGACTAGTAATGCTTAGGTAAGGGGGTGTGATTAACCGTAATTATGGCATAATTTAATGAGTAACTTATGTTAGTTGAATAGAGTTAAACTAGTCAAAATAAATCAAATTAGAATTAATGTGTGAATAAAGGATAATGCATTAANGTGTTAGTTGAATAAAGTTAAACTAGTCAAAATAAATCAAATTAGAATTAGTGTGTGAATAAAGGATAATGCATTAATTGTTGTTCTTTTCAGGGTTTTGTGCGTCAAAACTACAAACTACTGGGGAGCCAATTACATTAATGCTACAAACTACTGGGGAGCCAATTACATTAAAGCTACAAACTACTGGGGAGTCAATTACATTAAAGCTACAAACTACTGGGGTGCCAATTATCAAAACACAAAACAAAGGGGATCCAAGAATTCAAGTCCACCTAACAAGATTTTCATGTAATTCAAGACCACCAAACAAGACTTTTCAAGTCCACCTAACAAGATTCAAAGCCACCTAACAAGACTCTTCAAGTCCACCTAACAAGATTCAAGGCCACCTAACAAGACTTTCACCCTCCCTTGTTGCCTATAAATACCACCCCTTAGGACTTGTAAAGCATTCATCTTTCGGTAGTGGAAAACCCTCCAAAAGTATCCTTATTGCTTTTTGCTTTCTTTTAGTATTGCTTTCTTTTATTCTATTACTGCTTCATTTTAATTTATTGCTTTCTTTTACTTTAAGTATTACCTTCTTTTATTGTGTTATTGCTTTATTTTACTTTCATTGCTTGAGCTTCCTTCTTCTCTTAGAGGAGTGAAAATCTTCCACTTTTCTAGAGCTTTACCAAAGCCATGAAAGGTGGAACATGATTCACTCATTCTTTGTCAAAGATCGGCTCTTTGTGCAAGGTGTGTTACCTTGTAACTCCTCTACTTGGAGGGATGAACATCACTCACTTTTCTAGCTTAACAAAGCCATGAAGAGTGAGTAGTTTCTCATCCATTCTTTAGTAAGAGGTGATTATCCAGAAGTTATATTTATGCATTTCGTTTATCCTTAGCTCTAGTCTTTATTTCTTCATAATGTCTTCTCATCATATTGTTGTCTTTATTTTAAGCATGAATAGCTAAATCTCTTAGTTGGCAAAACCAAGAGGAACCTCCACTTGGGTATACCATTTCAACTCATTCTCCTCCCCTCTTTCAGAGTTTAATGGTTCGGTTTGACTAGGTTGAGGGTGGATAACTTGGTGAGTCTTTGATATTCAGTAGGCCTAGTCACGGTTTATGCTGAGATACTCAAAATCTTATCCCTAGCTTCCCACGAATCAATCGTTCATTCATGCTCTATTGGAGGAGGATTTCGAGTTGAGACGGTATTCCTATTGGAGTGACCTCTTGGATTTGCCAACATTTGTTTCTCATTTTACTAGCATCAAAACAACTTCACCAAACAACTTCCAACAATCAAAGATTTTACACTTTCTTTCTCCCAAAATCACCTTCCCCTCGGTTTACTTCATTCCCTGTGGAAACGACCTTGGAATACCCCCAAGAAAAACACGATTTGTGAAAGTCTCCTTGCGCTTGGGGAGCACTTTGGTTCACACATACTCATATTTGACATTTCATTCATCCACCATTTTGTTGTCCTTTCTTTTGACATCATCCCTAGGAGAGTGATACTCCCCTTCATTCATATACTATACATGCTAAAAGGTGATGTTTAGAGGTTATGAAACAACAAAGAATTTTGGCAAGCATAAAGCCACTTTCGCGACTCTAGAACACAGTGAACATATGAAAGTACTACCTCTGAAGTACCTTCACAACTGAGTAAAGATTGAAGTACATTTAGAATTTGGTAGGCCTTTGAAAAACTGTAAGGCATTTTATATCAATGTTTTATATCAATAAAGAATTTTTTCTTACAAAGTGCCTTTGTAAATCCTATACGATCAAACGAACTTTTGCCAAGGCAAAGGAAAATGCCCATGAGTAAAGTGGTAGGCATAAGACCTAAAGAGGCTAAGACAACCTACCACCAAGGCAGGGAGGTAAAAGTCCTGTCAGAGGAAAGAACCTAGCTAAGATGTAGCCACCTGATCAAACTTAGGTCCAAGGCTCAGTGCATTAGTGTAAGCTAAATGGGTAAAGATTTGAGACTGAACAGATCAACGGGTCTGTGCGATACTCACAACAAGTGCCTGACATGAAAGCTTGAACCCTTCATTTAGGCCGAGGCACTCTATTAGGGTCAGGGGCATAAAAAAATTTCTAAGTACAGAGGCCCGAACCCTTATAGAAACTGAGCCTCTACGAGGGGGAAGGGACATGAACTTAATCAAAACCAAGCTTCTTTATGAAAAATGGTTATAAAAATGTTCCAAGTATGAAAACATAAAATCCTAAACCTTTCATTGAAAGCCAAGAGATAAATTAGGCAAACATAGATCAACCAAAAGATCACAAAATTATTATATTGATCAGATTTGATTACAAGTTTAAAAAAAAATAGAAAACAACTACTAGAGGGATCTGGAACAAAGGAATCTAGAATTATAGAATCTAGAACAACATGACTTGAAGCACCAAACACACGGGTGAGAAAAGAGCTCGGAGGTCAGCAGGACGCCAGTAGCACTCATGCTTCATCCCAACCCTTCTAGAAGTTCATCTTCCTCAGCATTCTCCATCCCATCTTCAAAAGAATACTACATCCTCCTATGCCTTGGAATCAGCTTTGAAGATTTCAAACTCTTTAAGGAGGGAAACATGTTCTTATTGAGTCTGGGAGAGCTCACTAGAGGACTTTACCTCTAAAGAATTTTGCTCATCCTTAGAAGACTTCAAATGATCCCTCTCCTCTTTATATTGATCAAAAAGCTTCAGTAAAATTGAAGTACTAAGCTTGGTTTGTACTTGAAGTACCGAGATCTCCTCAACAAGCTTGGAAACCTCGATGTTAAACTACTTTTTTTTTTTGCTAAAGCTGCCTTGCCATCATAGATGGCCTTGCCCTTTTGAGCAATTCGGGTGCAAACCTCAAGAACCTATTGGAGACCTTGCCGCAAGAACAATTAGTGAATTTAGTCAATATCTAATCAAAGGAGAGAGGAAACTGACCAGCACCATCCAATGAAGGGCACTTTAGGAGATTTGATCATTACTCATTGACTCATTAGCCACTTGATTCAAATGAAGAATCACTCCCCTAGCTATGCCAATAGCAACATTTACATTGGCCACAACAGTCTTTCACAGTCATCCCTCTGCCTTTGCCTTTGGAGAGGAGAATCCATCTCCTTGCCATCATCAGATTCATTTATCTGTACTACCTTCCCCTTCTTGGCGGCATGCTTTCTTCAATAAGTCAACTCGGGGGAGGACTCACTTTATGATCCTCGGGGAAGCTACACCATTGTCCCTAGGAACATCACCTATTAAAATTGTTTTGGATTGATTAGAAACAGAAGCAATAGTCGATTCTTTTACTAGTGTCGACATCATCTCAACTTCAGCCACACTTGGTTGTACAGGGTCATGCAGAGGGGAGTCTTGTATAATAAGGGGAGTTTGAGAAGTAAAAGCATGTTGAGTACACATTGTTGCATAATTTTATGTCATAATATTTTTGTTAAATATATATTTTATTTTACCCGAGTATATGTTATATGAGTAAATTGCGTGTTTGTAGATAATTAGCTGTATGAAGGAGTGTTTCAAATTCATTTGGATGTATTGGAATGTCTCGGGAAGTCGTAGAGATAAGCGGACTTTCAACCAGGAGCATCGCTGCAAAAAGGCGAAAAAATGGCGGTTGTACTAGTTCACTAGGTAGAAAACAGTTTGTACTGGTTCATCGCTAAGCGTAATGAGTTTCTACCAGTTTATTCCTCCTTTTGTACATGTTCATTTGAAGTCAAAACAAATAGAGAGCTCTTCCATCAGTTCTAGCTGCTTTCTACTAGTTCATTGCGGATAAAGAGGTCTTCTACTAGTTCAACCTTCCTTTTGTATCGGTACAAGAGAGTCAAACACAACAAGGATTCCTATTTGGAAATTTTTATCAGCCAAATCTTAAGAGATACCCTCCAAGGTTTTCTCCAAATGGGAGAGATACCTAAAGAAAGAGGATCCAATATATCTATTCTTTAGCATTTTCTTATGGTAAAAAATAAAAGAAAAGGAGAGCCTCTCTTCAGTGTTTTCTCGCAAGGATTGAAAAAACATAGAGTATTTTCCATTTCGTTTCATTTGTAATAATTTTTAGTTCTTGTTTTCAATACAAGGTATTGGATTTAATTTTGTTTCCAATACTAATTTTGTTTTCTCTTCAATTGATATGTCTTTCACACTTGCTTTCAATTTAGCACAAAATATTTTTGAGTAGTTTAATTATGACATAATCAAATGAGGGATTCTCATCCTTGAGTGGGTGATTTTGACCCTAAAATGGGTATCAATGCTTAGTGTTTTTTTGTTGATTGAAATAATTGATTTTTAACACATGAGTGATTTGTAAACAGCCTTGATAAACCATTGAAAATTGAATTTGGCATGGGTAATACTTGAGGTCCCTGAAATCAATGTGATACAAATTATTACATTAATTATTTTTATCATCAAAACACATATTTTCTAAATTTTGATTTTCATTGAATATTCTCTATCTAAATGAGTTTTAAATTGGGTCAAAATTTCTATTCACGACAGGATGAAATCAAAAGTTTAGCCGATTGGTTTTAAAAGTATTTTTAGAATTTATCTATCATCACCATCTTTGAAAATCAAAATATCTTTATTTTTGTTTATATCATATCACCCTTTGAATTTGTCCTTGTTTTCCTATGAAGACGACTTCAGTATTTTCTAAGTTATTACATGATAACTTTTCTTATGCTTGGGAAACACTTTTAGAAAATCACACTTGGAAAGACAAGCCAATCATTTAGTACCACACTTGGGGATGCATCAGAACTGAAGACGGGATCAATGAAAGTTATTCACAAGTCAGCCTCGGCCAATAACGATGGATTTTTTATGAGACCTCAAGATATAAGCTCTAAGGGTTTTAAGTGCTTCTTAGTCCTTGACTAGGCAGGCATTGTGCCTGTCTGGAATAGCAATAAATGAGCAATAGGATGGATTATAATCGAGAAGCTAGTGTGCATCCCTATTGAAGAGGGACTCTTTGAAAGGCAAAAATTTCTTGAGGCCCTCCTGTTTACCGACCTCTCTAAAACCCTCTTAACCTCTTCCCCTGCTTGATTATTTGAAGACACAGTGAATCAATGCCTTTCTAAAAAGAAAAAGAGAGAAGAAAATTCTCTAAACTTTTTGAGACAATACCTGGAGCACCACTCTCATAAGTGCATCAATAATTAGGAACTTCTCTAGCCCTGTGCTCCCAGTTCTCAAAAACAAATACTATTTTTTTTTCATGATTCTTATTGAAATTGGGAAGATGAGTAAGGAGATAGCAACTATTGTTCCTAACATCTAAATAGTAATTATCATTGCCAGCAGGCTTTATATAGCAGTACAGAAGTTCCCAAATACCAAGATTGGTCCTAAGATGGTTGTTAACCCATCACTATTCGAAATAAGCTAGGGTAGTATTGCAATGGGCAAAGTCTAAAAGCAGAAAGAACCCTAAAAAGAAAGGGATGAAGGGGGAAACAAACTCCACCTTGGGAGATGGAGATTGTTGTCCCAAGAGGGGGAACCCGATGTGGATCTTCTCTCACAATTATACATATGGAGCGATAGAAACTTTACCTAGAGTGGGAGTGAATAGGTTTTTCAATTCTAGCCATATTGATTATCAATAAAAACATAAACCACCACAATCATATCTTCTCACAAAGATATATCAATTAATATGAGAACCCATTTACTCACCACAATCCAAATTAACCATGATGATTGATTTTAATTAATCTTTAATTAATTCTCTCACAATCAATCTCATGATGATCCCAAATCCCAAACTCTATGCACAACTATGTATGGATAGATATTCAAACAATCATTCCATTAAACACATAGTGTGCGTGTGTGTTCACAATCACTAGTGTGTACAATAATAAATAAAGTACACAAGTGATTTGTTAATGCGAAAAACCCTCATCGGGAAAAACCAAGGAGAACATTCTCAATTCACCAAAAACTATTCCACTACTTGCTAAGTCAACACTAGTTGAGTCTTATACATTAAGCAATACCATGGTGAGATGCTCATTTCACCAAAAACTATTCCTTGTTGTCTCTCAGTCAAAGGCCCTCCTTCAACTGTTAGTGTAGCTTCACTTGAACCTTCCTATCGTAGGGTTTGTCTAGGCCTTGAGTAATCCTAGGCATGCCAATAATTTTCAGTATGCACACACCAATGGGTTTTGTTCTAAACCATCAAGATCTTCAACACCATGTTGTGAGATTGGGCAGAATCTCTAATGGTAGCCTTTGGATTTAAGGATCTAGGTTAGTGGTGGAAGCTATCAAGGAAGAAGAAATGGTTTCATGAATGACTACTAGATTGATGGGCCCGTCATAGGGCAGTTGGTTCTAGAATGAAAATCACATTTCCATCCTATCAAGGAGCAACACTGTTCAAGCTACCATGAGCATCGGTCAAGCGAACTTAAAGGACCACTTGAGCGAGCTCCGTGCTATTCTCCCGTGGGCTTTTCCTTCTAATTTCCTAAGTCATCAAGATATCACTCTAGCCAAGCCTGGTAAGAATAGCTCGATCCCTACTGGTTTTTGAAGCACAAAAAACCAAGCAAAAACTAGTCTTCTTGTGCATTAAAGGGTGTTGCTCAAGAGGGGTCCAATAATGGCTTAATCTATGTTTTCAAAACATAAAATTTTTTAGAAAATCTTTTCTTTTGTATTAACCGAGGTGTCATTCATAGATTGGTTTCAATTCCATGTCCGTTTTGATCATCGTATGTTAAAAGTAACTAAAGGTTCATCTTTGGTGTCTAGGTCATTATCTGATGAGAACCAAGGTGGGCCAACTCTTAAAGATCCTTTGCATGTCTAGATCGCCCATTTATAAGATCAAGAGCCAAGAATATCAAAGGAAGTAGTGTAGGGATTGGTGCAATCCACTTGGGATGAAGCTAGAAGAGCCCAACACTCAAGATGGGCTTGAAAGAAGGAGAACATGTTAGATAGGGCCAGTTGTTGTTAAGGCCTTCAATTTGTTTAAAAGATTTTTATTACTAGGTTAGAATAAGTGGGCTTGAGGATGCTTGGCCCACACATGTCTTATTTCTTATGAATTAGGGTTTTTGGGAAGGTCTTATATTTTGGCCAAGGGCTTTTTAGGAAAGTTATTATTTTATTTAAACTAGGGTTTTAGAAGTTATTGTAGCATGACACTATTCAAACTATAGTGCCACGACACTATTCATTCAAGGGCATTTTTGAGAGAAAGGGTCACAAATTTTAGTCTAGGGTTTTATCATGTTTTGGGAAGGGTATTTAAAGGATGTAACCAGCCACTTCAATGGGGTAGACAATATTGAATTTTAATTGCGAGTCGAGTTTACTCCTATTCTTGAATGAACTTTTGAACTTGTCAAAGATAAATCACAACCTTTGTGGTGTTCCTCCTTGTAATTTGGGTTCTTGAGAAGGGTTCTTCAACGGATCTAGATTTTAATACAATCTAGGTTCTTGAAACGAGTTCTCAACGAGTCTAGATTCTTCATCCATAGACCTGAGTTTGGCATTCTTGGGTTTTTTTTTCCAATATTGTTCTTGGGTCTCAAAGCAATTCGATTGGGGTTCACATTATTTGGTATCAGAGCAAGGTTTTCAATCAGGTCATATTCTATCACTTTATTTCTCACATATTTAATTCTAGGGTTACAAAAAAACAAGAAGGGCTGCAAAAATTCTTAGGGTTTTGTGTGGCTACCAAAAATTTAATTGTTCTAGGGTTTTGAGTTATTGTAAGGGTTCTGTCAATTGTTTATTATTTAGTTTGTGATCAAATCAGTCAGTGAAAAAAAAATTCGTCCAAAAAACAAAAAAAGGAGAAAATCTGAATATATATATATGTATATTTAGCCTTCTGTTAAAAGGGGCTGCATACATCATTATAGTTGGTATCTTGTCTTGTAATTACTCTTTCATTTGTATACTTTTTTTTATTCTTGTGTCATTTTATTCCTTCCGCATTTCTCTTGTTCTTGTTCTTTTCGTGCTTCTTGTTCTTGTTCTTGTTTGTGTTTTATTCCTTTTGTGTTTCTCTTGTTCACTCTTGTCTCTTGGGCCAAATTACTAGTTGGGATTAAACAAGGTTGCATTGTCTTGACGGAGTTCAATTAGTTCTTAAAGAACTTGAGTGGGAAAACTCTTGAGGTAAAAGACAAGAGAGTGTGAGACTATTATTGGGAAATGCCAATTAAGAGTGAAACACGTAAGGGAGTGTGTGAGGTTTTTCTTTAACCATTAACATCCTTTTTGTGCAGCACATTAAAATGTCTCACCGAAGTGGCTCATCACCAAGGGGGATGACCGATAACCCATTCTTTATGTTGCAGGGCATGCAACAACAATTTGAGAGGTTGGACTTGGTGTTGTGGGAAGTGAGGGATATGATTGATCAGCAAGAAGCAACGATTAGAAATTTGCAAGATGAAGATTTGAAGATGTAAGGAAAGGGGGAAAGACTCACTCAAGATCAAGAGTCAAGAAGATCAGAGAAGCAATGCAAGGATTGGTGCAATCCACTTGGGATGATCTAGCAAGACCCCAACACTCAAGTTGGGCTTGAAAGAATGAGAACATGTTAGATAGGGCCTATTGTTGTTAAGGCCTTCGATTTGTTTAAAAGATTTTTGTTATTAGTTTAGAATAAGTGGCCTTGAGGATGCTTGGCCCACATATGGCATATTTCTTATGAATTAGGGTATTTGGGAAGGCCTTATATTTAGGCCAAGGGCTTATTAGGAAAGCTATTATTTTATTTGAAATAGGGTTTTAGAAGTTACTATAGCACGACACTATTCACTCGCGGGCATTATTGAGAGAAATGGTCACAAATTTTAGTCTAGGGTTTTATCATGTTTTGGGAAGGGTATTTAAAGGATGTAATCAGCCACTTCAATGGGGCAGACAATATTAAATTTTAATTGTGAGTGGAGTTTACTCCTCTTGTTCTTGAATGAACTTTGAACTTATCAAAGGTAAATCACAACCTTTGTGGCGTTCCTCCTTGTAATTTGTGTTCTTGAGATGAGTCCTTCTACGGGTTTATGTTTTAATATAATCTAGGTTCTTGAAACGAGTTCTCAACGGGTCTAGATTCTCCATCCATACACCTGAGTTTGGCATTCTTCGGTTGTTTTTCCAATATTGTTGTTGGGTCACAAAGCAAGTTGATTACGGTTCACATCCATTGGTATCAGAGCAAGGTTTCCAATCAGTTCATATTCTATCCTTTTATTTCTTGCATATTTAATTCTAGGGTTACAAAAAAATAAAAAAAGAAGGCCTGCCAAAATTCTTAGGGTTTTGAGTTATTGTTAGGGTTCTGTCAATTGTTTATTATTTAGTTTTGTGATCAAATTAGTGGGTGAAAAAAAAATTCGGCCAAAAAAATAGAAGGCAAAAAAATCAAAAAGAAATGTGGAAAAAATCGGAATATATATATATATATATATATATATATATATATATATGTATATATATATTGTCTTCTGTTGAAAGGGGCTGCATACATCATTATAGTTGGTGTCTTGTCTTATAATTACTCTTTCATATGTATACTTTTTTTGATTGTCGTGTCATTTTATTCCTTTCGTGTTTCTATTGTTCTTGTTCTTTCCGCCCCTCTTGTTCTTCTTCTTGTTCACGTTTTATTCCTTCTGTGTTTCTCTTGTTCTCTTGTTTCTTGGGCCAAATTACTAGTTGGGATTAAACAAAGGTTGCATTGTCTTGACTAAGTTCAATTAGTTCTTAAAGAACTTGAGCGGGAAAGTCTTGAGGTAACAGGCAAGAGGGTGTAAGACTATTATTGGGAAAAGCCAATTAAGAGTAAACACTTAAGGGAGTGTGTGAGGTTTTTTTTTAACCATTAACAT